TTGTGCCAGACTTTAGACCAGGTTTGAGTTGGTCTATGGTGCAGTCTATTTTCAGTTCCTCAAAATAGCAAAGCACCAACAATGCGCCTGAACACACATCTTTTTTAGACCAGCACGCCCATGGGCGCACAAATGGGCGCAAATGCATTTGCTATTTAAACAACGTGGCGCAGGACGGGAAAATGAGAACTGCGTCGGGCTAAAACTAGCAAAAACTCTTGCGCCGCACCTTACGCCACATTGCGCCGGGTGTATGATAGGGCCCATAATGTAATGTTTGCAGTCACTTATATTCAATACAATCAAGTGCACTTTTTCACAAGGGACTGGTAAATATTATTAGAAGCTTATCAGAATAGATATGGTAAATGTGAACTTATAATTCAGTCCTTGTAATAATCTGAAGCTTTTCAGTCAGTCTGCAAAACATTTGACCAAAATAATGGACTCAGCATGTGGAACCTGAAAATCAGCAACGTACTTTTGCATTCCCCCTGGTACATAATCTCCAGGTCAGGGTGACCTCTGCAGCGAGCCATCAGGAGTGCGCACTCGTCCTTGTATGAGTTCCCATCGCTCCCACACACGGCGTGTTTAGTGGAGATGTTGGAACAGTCTGGAGAGCATATGCACTGGGGACGTCCAGACTTCATCCTGCACACTTTTCCAGGGCCGCAGTTGACCCCCTCGCAGTTCTCTGCAAGAGAAAGTTGGTGGACAAAAGTTGATTATAAGGAAACCTATATATTCATTTAATACTGGAAAGCGTTGATAAAATAGTTCTGTCACCTCATATTTGTATTTTTATGCATATCACTCCAATAGCTTAGCAACATGCTAACATCAACTCTCTTGAACTCAATTCCAAGTTAAGTCATTCTGAGTCAATGAGTCATCCACTGACATTGTCCAATAATTGTCTATTCTACTCCATTCAAGCCAGAGCGAGCAAAACACATCAGAAACGGTTTCTACGATTCAGGCCCCGTTATCCCAGCTTCTGGTTCCCATTCCTGCAAGTTCTTTAATATCCTGTTGCTCCCCTTCCCTGTGAAGCCAACCAAATCACCCAAGGCCGAATCAGATACCTCCACTGGAAATCCCAGCATAACCCTGTTATGTTTCCTCAAGATCCGCCGGCAGTCACACATGATTTACAAACTGCCTTGTCTGCCCCCGAAAAACAAATGTAAGGAAATGCGCCGGACAGACGCTAAGCGCGAGTTGAGCTTTCAGGAATGCTTTGAAGCATTTTGACATCGAGAACACACTGGGGAGCTCACACATTAGGGTCCGCTAGTCCATATAGTTTTATGATAATGGAAAGCAAACGCCATGGAACAAACAATGTAACAGACTTTCACTTCCAGTGGTTCTTCACCCCCCTCACCCCAAGTGTCTAATGATGCTGATTGTGTTTGAGGCTTATGAGGACCAGACCTCTCTAGCATGTGGCACACATTTTTCTTTGCGGTGTGCTGGAATTCAGTCATCTCCGAGAGGGAAAGGCAAAACAAGTCTGCTTTCCAATAAGCATTGGGAAAGAGTGATTGCTGAGAGAGGGAGGAGAGCGAAGGGGGGAAATATAGTTGCTATTATATCAAACAATTTTTTTCATTTTATGCATAATGAGAAATATAGCTGAATTTAAGAGAAAATTGAGAGAAAAATTTAAAATGTATACCTAGAATTTCAATTTGCGACTTGCTATTGCTATTCAGATATGGGCTGTATTAAAAGTGCCGGATGGAATCCAGTCATTTCAATAGGGATCTGTGTAATTAGGAATTTCACGCGAGGGCGAAATCCACACAATCTGGAATTTTGATTTGCAACTTCCTGTTACTAATTAGAAGTAGGTCATATTAAGGTGCAGTCACATTTTACCATTGTTCAGTGAATTTCTGTAAAAGTAAAATCCAGTTATTTCAATAGAAATCCACACAATTGTGAATTTCATATGAGGGCAAAATCCACGCAATCAGGAATTTCACATTGCAATGTGCTACTGCTAATCAGATGTAGGTCATATTAAGGTGCAGTCACATTTACCATTGTTCAGAAGTTTTTTTACAGACAAAATCCAGTCATTTCAATAGGAATTCACGCAATCTGAAAAATTTTGCATTAGGGCAAAATTCACACAATCTGACATTTCAATTTACAACTTGCTATTGCTAATCATAAGTAGGTTGTATTAATGTGCAGTCACATTTACCGCTGTTTAGCAAATTTCTGCAATCCAGTTATATCAATAGAAATCCACACAATCAGGAATTTCGTATGAGGTCGAAATCCTAACAATCTGGAATTTCGTATGAGTGCAAAATTTGGAATTGTGATTTGCAACTTGCTATTGCTAATCAGATGTAGGTCATATTAATGTGCAGTCACATTTACTATTGTTCAGCAAAATTCTGCAAGTGAAATCCAGTTACTTCAATAGAAATTCAGTACTTTCTTTTGAGGGCGAATTCCACGCAATCAGGAATTTCACATTTTAATGTGCTATTGATAATCATGTAGGTCATATTAAAGTGCAGTCACATTTACCATTGTTCTTAATTTTTTACAGACAAAATCCAGTCATGTCAATAGGAATTCACGCAATCTGGAAAATTTAGCATTAGGGCAAAATCCACATAATCTGGAATTTTGATTTGCAACTTGCTATTGCTAATAAGAAGCAAGTTGTATTAAGGTGTGGTTACATTTACCTTTGTTTGACAGTTTTTAGCTGGCAGAAAGAAAACTAGCAAGACAGTCATTTCAATCAGAATCTACGTGATCAGGAATTTTGTGTAAGGGCAAATTATTTCCCCACAAAGATTGCGCAACGTTGGTCAAGCTGGTCCTGCAAATTTGTCATGTTGACCAACAAAAAGCTGCATGGTTTAAAAGTGACTTCACAACACTGTTGACAATAGACAATGGACCATTTTTGGACACCAAAATGTTGCTAATGTCACTACAACTTTAGTGGTAGGAACATTCTTATTCTGGAGAGCATTCGATTGGATGAAATGAGTGAGAGCAGGATGACTCTTCTTGGTTTCCCTGGAGGAGGACGACTATAAATTTTAAATGCATCTATCTGCTAAAATTACCTGCTAAAAGTGAATTTTAAGAGTGTACAATCATACAGATTACCTCAAAGCTAATAGATATGCACTAAAAGCCACAAAACTACAATTTTGAGCACAATTATGAGCTTACTGGGCTGAGGAAATTCTTTCTAATTATCACGTCCGCTAACTTGTTTACTCCAGTAATAACACTCTGGGTTTAAAACGTCTGATAATAGTAGAGGTTTGGAGCCCTTATATGAACCTACGTACCTGGCCAAGGCGATCAGTAGTAAATGATTTCCACAACAGCCGAGGAATGGTAAACAAAACATCTGGTGTAGATCCACGCTTTTTAAACTTGCTGAAGAATTGCATTTGCAAAGAAAACTCTCCAAACCAGCATTTGGCCTACAGTACTAGATTTTATCTCCTCAACCAAAATGGGTTCAGCCCTAATTTGCAAATGAGGAATGTTCTCTAATGTGTGTAGAAGGCTTAAAATGGTAAACACTCAGGGGAAAAAAAGGTACAAATATTGTCACTGGGGTGGTATACACCTCTGTACCAAAGGGTTCTTTTGTATCTGTTTTCTGTGAGTGTAGTAACCAGTTCAAGAAGACTTCAGCACAGAGTCTCTCACTGATATCAACAAGTTGGAACGGGACAACCCAGTCTACCTGCTGAGATCTTAGAACGGAGGGTAAATACGAGCCGGTACCTTTGCACGGCTTACAGGAAACTATTCCCAGGAATCCCAGCAGGCTGACTTCATTGATAGGCAGACTGGTATTGGACCAGGCAGTGTCCAGACGGCCGGCAGCACAGCACTCTTCCCTGCTCACACCTCTCATGAGCACCATGTCACAGCGGTGCTCCGGACCCTGCTGCAGCCAGCACATGCCAGCTAGACAAACAAATACAGAATGAAAACACACACAATCCATCTCAGAGATATTGCCAACAATACAACCCTGACATCAACTTGTGATGTATTTTCTCCATTCCTTCACAGTTGCACATATGAAACTGGAAAGTATTTGATGACTAAAACAAAGATTATCTCAGATATGTCACAATACCCAATAAAGTATGTCATATGAGAAATCTCATGTTACGAGAAAAAAAGGGAATTTTTTTACAGAATTACGGGAATTGACACTTTGTGGAAAATATTTCAAATCTTTGTTAACAAGAAAAACCTTTAGAATTCACCTTTATAAATAACCTTTATATACACTTTTGAAGTGGCATTTTAGTTGTCTTTACATAGACTGTTTAATTCTGCTCAAAGTTGTCATACATGCATTTACACAAATACAACAAATACAACTGTATACTTTGATACTAAGGGGTGAGGTTGGTCAGAGCTGGCTTAATTTAGTCTGGCTTTTATGCTGCATTAAGTCTTTACACTGAATTGTGAGCAGGCACAGAGCAACCAACTTGACTGTGTAAAGATGCCTTATTTCTGTTTTATTGCTCAAAAGTTGACTATCAGTTTCTGAATTCATGGTTAACTAATGTAATATCACACATTTAACAGAACATGCAACAAATGCCAATGCAATAAATAAAAAGTGCGCTGACTTTCGGTTCATTACATTAAAGCATGTCAACATATTCTGTTACACCAAATACACAAAATAATGATCTTTAAAAAAGCATCATATGACCCTTTAACATTATTGTACCCACAAAGGAGGGTCGAAGAAAACGTCTGGTAGACTTAAGAATATGAATTATTTTTTACATAAAAGTATTATATATATATATATATATATAGAACAACATTTCAGTAACCACAAATGTTAAATATAAAGTTTACGCTAGTCAACAGAATGAAATCGCCTTTGCGTGAGGAGGTAACCATAGCAACAGCTGCTCGATCGCTGTCAGTATTGAACGGTACATCCACTAAACGTAAAACATTATTATAAATTAACTTTAATGTTTTCTTTAAAACGCACCAACGTGTGTTTATTTCACACACATAAAAGCATATGGTAATATCTCGATTAGTACTTACATTGGTAATTTAAAGTTGCCAAACTTCTATAGCAACTAATGAAGAAAGCTAATAATGAAATGCAAAATATTGTTAAGTCGTTCACTTACCGTTCGTTCGATGATCTTCAAATATTTCACAAACTGAAATAAGTATCACACAATGTAGTACAGCCAAAAAGTTCATTATGCTGTTGAATATTTCTATAGGCTACACAGATGTTTCAACCAGCGGCGTTCCTTAAAAGTATTGAGACTGATAAGAAGTCTAGAGAGCTATTAACGTGGGTTGTTTCCACTAGGTTTCGTGAATGGGCTTGTTGTAAGTGATTTCGGTCCGCCTCTGTATAAATATTTTGCCCGAGTAAATTATGCTTCTGGGATGGGCGATAATTCCAGCCAGTTACGTTGTTGATGCAGTTGTGTACTTGAGTCAGTTCTCGGATATGAGGCTGAAAAACTCCCACACTTCATCTCGGTCCGTCTGAACTCAGTTAACCAAGAAATTTACCAAGATAACTTTAATGGCAAATGTATATGCAAGTAAGTCTATGAATATTTCTCAGGGTTGGTTTATTTTTTAAATACAAATTCTTGCCTTACAAACAATAAATAGGCTAAATAAAAAAAATAAAAAATGCATTGGATATATACTTATATTATATATATCCGATAAAAATGCTCATTTAGAAGAAAAATTCAGATGGCATATATATATATTTTTTTTTATTTTTATTTTTTTTAATTTTTTTTACTTCTTGTAAGCTTACCTCAATATAGCGTTACCCTTGAATTAAAAAAAATTGTCCTAAGCAAAAATATCCACCTTTCAGTTAAAGTCTACCTTAATTATAAACTTGAATCTTGTCTGACCAACATACAAACAAATTTAAGATGGCATAATTTTTTTATTTATTTTTTTACTTATTGTAAGCTTACCTCAATATAGCGTTACCCTTGAATTAAAAAAAATTGTCCTAAGCAAAAATATCCACCTTTCAGTTAAAGTCTACCTTAATTATAAACTTGAATCTTGTCTGACCAACATACAAAACCACTCCTAGAGAAAACACTAAATTTGTGTAATTGCAGTTTGAACCAAAACCTAATAGTTACGGAGATTTATCTCTTGTAACAACTAGCTACCCCGGCTTCCTATAGCATTTACATCAAAAATATACATTTATAATGTGCAAAATGTCTCAAACCACAGTATATGTAGTCACATTTTAATGGATGTACTATTTGTAGGTCCCACTTTACATTAAGTGGCCCTAATACCAGTGTACTTACATAGTAACTAGATGTGTACATAGTATGTAACCACAGTTTAAGCACGTTGGTACATAGTATCTACAGCTCTAATGTTTGTGTAACTACACTTATGTAACAACCCACTGAATGGTATGTGTAAGTACAAATGTGTAACAGGACATTGGTAACAACACTTTTTGGTAATTTAAGTACAAATGTGTAACAGGACTAACAGCACTTTTTGGTAAAGAAAGTGTTACACTTTATATTAGATTTATCATGCAATTCTGATGTTACACAACATCGGCCAGTAAGTTAGGCTTTACATATAAATTGTGGTTGGTGTCCAGAATGTTACACTTTATATTAAGTGGACAGTTCCTGAGGAGTTACCATGTAAGTACACTGGTATTACAGTGGTGCACCAACTCCAACTCGAGATCCAACTCCTCCCACTTTACATATCCCTAAACCTACCCATCTCCACCCACTGGATCCCATTTCCACCCCTAAACCTACCCATCTCCACCCCCTGGATCAAATGGTTCCAATTACTCTTATACATATTGTTGTTACAAAACGTAGTTATATAATTCCTGTTACACGAGTACTTAGTGAAGTGGAAAAAAAAAAGTGTTGTTACCAATGTCCTGTTACACATTTGTACTTAAACCATCCTGAGGGTTGTTACATGTGTGTAGTTGCAGAAAAATTACAGCTGTAGATACTATGTACCAATGTGTACTTACACTGTGGCTACATTCTATGTACACATTTAGTTACTATGTAAGTACACAGGTATTAGGGGCACAATATAAAGTGGGACCAAATTCTATAATTTTTGTCTGCTGATGCTCTGGCTTTATTCAAGATACTTTGTGGTTTCATTTTAATGAAAATGCCGTAAAATGTCAGTTTTGTAGAAGTCTCTGTGCAAGAATTTCTCCAACCGGAGGGCAAAATTAGGCTTAATTCAACTGAATATTTTAGCTATTATACGGTTTAAATAACTGATAAGACACACCTGTGGCCAGATAAACAATGCTGCGGTCACCGGTGGGGCCTGGCAGCAGTATCTGCGGACTGTCACCTATCAGCACGTGGCTTCCATTAAAACGTGGCCTGGAAGTCAATGACGTGACTGCTAAATAGATGAGAGTGTGTCTGTGGGCCGTTCAGCCATGTGGAAAACCACCATCCGCCGAGCATGGAGCTCATTAAGATGTTGTGTTCAAGACAAGGAGCTCCTTGAGAGTGGAACACATGGTTCATATTGACGATTTCGGTTCTGATGTAAACTCCCATAGTCGTGCGCTGGCATGCTTTCTTCACTGGCACACCCTGCCTTCCTCCCATCGCTGTGGTATGATATTGCATGCCAGTTAATATTTTGCAGGTTCTTCCCATATGGCTTGATCCTCAATGGAGGGTCTTTGATCTCCGAGGGGGAGAAGAAAAAGAAAGTATCACATGAACCGTCTATATCTATGTTGATAAAAAAAAGGGGGGTGTTATGTTGATGTATAATAATTCCCAGCGAATGCTGACCTTGAGGTGGGTGGCCGAAGAAAGCACTTGCTCAAGGACTTTCTCACATGGTTTGGGTCTACAGAAACTCACTTAGTGCTGTTTCCCACTATTCATCTAACACTTATTCATGAATATCAGTCACTCATCGAAAATCACAATATTTATGAGCTGCAAAAGTGAGTGCAAGAACTTACTGAAAAATGTCTGATTTTGATTTGCAGTGATGAAAAACACACCGCGGCTGAGGCACCACTATGACAGAATCTGAAAACGGTCTGATCCTGGTAGAAAGGAGGGGGAAAAGTACAGAATGTGAACTATGAATGTTTTTACAGTTGCCATACATTTATTCAGTGGTTGAAATGTAAGACTTGATGACTATTAAATGTTTTGGCTGTAAATGCTATAGCTATAAAAAAACAAAAAACAAAACAACCACCTGGAAATATCAAAGAATTTTAGAACAGAAATTTAATTTAAATGAATAATAATAACAACAATAATAATACACAAATATGTTATTAGTTTATTAAATTAGCAATAATAATAATAATAACAATAATAAATTATAATTTATATAAAAATAAAATAATAATTAAATATAAAATTATTCAATAAAATGGTTCAAGTACATCTAATAATAATAATAATAATAATAATAAATTATTCAATAATTTAGATAGAAGTTGCTCTATTGCCATCTCTATAAATTATTTAATAATAATAATAATAAACTACAATGTCACTTAAACAGCTTAAACATTTTATTTTATGACAACATGGGAAGTTGGAACATTTGTAATATGTCAAACCAAACTAATGTTAATGTAAAAGGATAACAATGCTATATAGCTATAGAAAATAAAGCATTTTTACCTGGAAATATCAGGGAATTTTATGATTACATAAATTAATACACTGGCATTCAATTATGTGGCATTTGTAATATGTCAAGCCAAACTAATGTTAACTAATATGTTTAGTAATCGCTAAAATTAACTATAATTCACAATAATTCCCTTGACAGTTTTAGTACTGCAGCTAGTGATTTAAGCCTCATTATTTAGAAATGCTACCCTCTACCGGTGGTTGTATGAAGCAAGACTGAATATTTCATTCCTGTCCATTACCAAGAATAATGAATTACACATTTGCCAACTGTATACGGCTTGTGATCAAACACGCTGCTTTGGATTTCCCTATAATGCATTACCATAAAGTAGTAACCCGAAAATACTGTGCCTTTTTCTTGATGAACCTTAAATAAAATATGCATGTGATGGTCATTAATCTAATCATCAGGTCCCATAGTTATTCATTATTTTATAATCGTTGGAGTAGACGCTCTTAGTTCTGTTCAACAATAAATACATAAATGATAAAGATGTTTTGCTAATATGATTATATTGGATAATGCTGATACTAATGATGTTTGCTGATTTGATTTGGGGATTTTAACAGAACAGAATTAACACGATTCATTTTGTTGCATAATGAGATAAAAGCTTTGATTCACGTCTATGATGCAGAGTAAAAGCTCAACTGGGAACAGACGCATATGCCTAATGCCATTAAAAAGCCCAAAATTTTGTCAAATATTGTGCAGTAATCATCCATTAATAATAAAGTGAAGTAAAACCCCACATTTGAAGATTCTGGCATCAAAGTTCCTTTTAGTTTTCTTTGTCACACAAACACACATAAAATAATCAGTTAATTCCCTTCTCGTGTGTGTTTCTGATTGAAAAATCCACCAAAGAGGAAGTAGGTGACTAATTCATTTACCCCCTCACCAACACACCGTGCCTCCTTCTTAATGGCCATTTAAAGTCCCTCCAGCTGTTCATTGGTGGGTAAATTAATCCCTCTTAGCCGGCTACGCTGTGGGTGTAGATCTTGCTGCAAAGGACGTGCTTTGACGCAACACAGACTAAAAGGAGAGCACACTGGCAGGAAGAATGGGAGCCTCAGGGCGATGGGAAGCATCCTACACTGATGTCTGCTCAGGCCTATGCCAGTGAAGAGGACACAAACATCATGCACAGTTTGCCATCGAATTGACAAAGTAAACAATTAAGTGAGCATCTATTTGTAGAGGGTAATAATGACTCTAAAACCCGGTTGGAAACAAACAGACAAAGTCAGAATAAATAAGATATAGAGGGAGCTATACAAAAATATACATTTTCATGATACACATTTTGATTTAATTTGATACAGTAGGTAGTATTGATTATATTGAAGGAATGATTAGCCTACTTTTTAAAGTCGCTTTGAAGGTGTCTGCTAAATAGTTTCATTAAGGATTCTTTTGGTATTTTCAAGATATAAAAATGCAGTTCCATAGTGAAATTATTAGATAATTTCATTAATAAAATACAATGAACACTATTACTGCAATATATTACACCGACTTTTCGCAGTCTTTTTGGCGGCATAAATGCAGTCCAATTTGGCCTTAACTATATATTAACACCTCTAAAGCAATACAAAATGTGATATACTGGATTAATTTTTATAAAACACTTCTGAAAACATGTTGTCATTTAAACAATTCACTGTAAGGTTT